TGAGTTGGAGTCTCCCTCTGTCGCCCAGGCTGGAGTGCAGTGGCACGCTCACAGCCAATGCAGCCTCAACCTGTAGCCGGTGATATAGACATGTACCAACATACAGGGTTAATTTTTGATGTATTGTAGAGACGAGGTCTCACCAAGTTGCCCGGGCTGTCTCGAATCCACGGGCTCAGGCAATCCTCCCACCTCAGCATCCCAAAGTGATGGAATTATAGACATGAATCACCATGCTCAGCCAAGAGTACCACTTCTATGACCCTAAAACTGGCTGGTTCTGACCAAAAGTCCCTCAGATACTAAGCACAGCTGCAACAAGGTATACAATCATGCACTCTAGAACATGAGCTTGTCATCCTTACCTGGACTTTATTTAATCTGTGCTTTTGTTTTGTCTCATTTTTAAAGTTGGAGTCTCTGTCACCAAGGCTGGAGTGCAGAAGCATGCTCATGGCCACTGCAGCCTCGACTTGCTGGGCTCCGGCAATCCTTCCGCCTCAGCCTTCCAAGTAACTGGAAGTACAGGCACACACCACTGCGCCCGGCTAATTTTTGATTTTTTGTAGAGATGAGGTCTCACCAAATTGCCCAGGCTGGTCTCAAACCTGTGGGCTCAGGCAATTCTCTCACCTTGGCCTCCCGAAGTGCTGGGATTACAGGTGTTGAGCCACTGCTGCAGGCCCACTCTGTACTTTTCTCCATGCTATTTTTTTCCATCAGGAATGACCTTCCTGAGTCTTGGCCTAGCGAATTTTACTCTTCTGACAAGGTCTAATTTATACTTTCTGTGACGTTCCTATTGCCTCAGGACTAACTCTCCCTTTTATGTATGTCGTTGTTTACACTGTTAAAATCTTCATGGTTCATGCCCAGGTTTATCTGGTTATTCAGTATGTTTTTACTAAAAGGAACACACACGTACTTTACAACTAGCTCCTTCAGGACAGACGGTGCCTTGTGTTTCAGAGATCTTCCTTTGATCTTTTGCAAAAGGAGGAAAGTAAAGGATGGAATATATTTTTAATTTTTGGAATTTTGGAAGAAAAACAGATCATCTGGTGTATGATGTCTGTCAACTGCTCACAGATGCCTATTGCCTTGTATATGAGAAAACAGGCTCTCTGTAAGAATACCAGATACTTAAATGGGGACTAATGCTCCATTAACTATCAGTACTGCAAACTCTTACTTACAAGCTTGAAACCTAGGATGTGAAGAATTATCTTAATGTAATTATTTCCCTTTGCATTTGTGAAGAGACAGGACAAGATAGCCTACCGTACCGTGTGAAGTATTGTAATCCTTTGTACCCAGAGACATCTTGCAGATCGCCTACTAGCAACTCCACTGTACTTTTTAATGAAACCGTGAAAAAGAACCCCTTCATGTTAAATAGTACAGCGTAGGAATCAATTGTTTTAGTGCCATGATATCTGGCTTACAATGGAATTCTGGACATTGAACAGCTATTTATGACAAAAATATCCCAAATTTTATCTTACGTTTTTCTAAAGTATGGTAACATGTGAAAATCACCAACATGCACTGCAGGTTCGCTATACATATGGTCCAAGAGAAATGTGTTTGACGTCTTCTACCTGTTATTTTCCTAATCGAGCGAACAATACAATCTCGTTTTCTTCCTCTCACAACAATATGTAATTTATTGTCCGGTCTGTTGCTTGAAGAAGATGTGGAAAGATACACTCGTGATTCCTAAAACCGCTTCTCAACTGATCGATCTATATCTCAATATATATTCCATCTGTTTGCTTTCTCACGCACTTGTAATGGAAAGCTTCAAGGGAACATACAGCTTTTTAAAATTTGCACTTGCACAAGTTTGTTCTGTAATCGCTTTATGTCCCCTGAGAGGCGACATCTGAGTACAAAGGGCTAACACTGAATCTGAAAACATAAGAATACTGCAGACCCCATGGAAGTGGAGAGAAGGAAGTAAATTTGAGGATACAGTAGGTATTACTGCAATCCAAGATACTGCCGTTTAAACCCCATTAAACTTTCTTTCCTAAAAAGAACAGGGAAAATGAAGAGGGAAAAGAAAAAACGATGAGAAAAAATGACAAGTTACTTTCTGCACCCTCACTTTACTATTGGAAAGGAAAGGCATTTTAGGGATTTTCTTGAGAGCAATTTTTTATATGATCCTGTTTTCTGAAACTGAGCTTTATCACACGCAAAACTAGCCCTTTAAAGCCTCGTTTGCATAACAATAAACTAGTAAAGTGACATAGCTAGTCACCTGAACAATCAACAGAAACAGGCCAAGGAACAGTGCTTACCTTCCACAGTGACCTCAATTTCAGGAACCTTTGAATTACTTCCCGGGCTTCGAGGTCTTTTCGGGGACTGCAATGCTGTAAAACAAGCACAGAATTACTTTTGTGTATCGTAAAAAATATTTTTAAAAAACAGAAGAGGACACTTCATAAAAGCAGAGTATCAAAATTCATACAGTTTGGCTCTTTTCAAAGAAACCTGAAGAATTAAATGGGTAGTGTTATCCTCCATAAGAGTCTCAACAAAGCTGTGAAAACATGAATGACGGAGGACTGCAAACATGAAATTTTCAATGAAATGTAAAAAAAGAGAGAGAGAGAGACAGAGAAAAAGAGAGAAAGAGAGAGAGAAAGAAAGAAAGAAAAAGAAAGAGAGGTCCATTAAATAAAATACCTTTAAAAAGCAAAGAAAAAACTAAAAGCTCCACAAAGATACTGGCCGATGATACTGTATGTTTGTTTGTTTGTTTTTTGGAGTTGGCGTCTCACTCTGTCACCCAGACTGGAGTGCAGTGGCACGCTCCTGGCCACCACAGCCCTGACGGGCTGCGCTCCGGCAATCCTTTCGCCTCCGCCTTCCAAGTAGCCGGAACTACAGGCATGCGCTAGCATGCCCGGCTAATTTTTTATTTACTGTAGAGACGAGGTCTCGCCAAGTTGCCTGGGTGGATCTTGAACCCGGGGGTTCCGGCAGCCCACTCACCTCGGCCTCCCAAGGCGCTGGGATTACAGGCTGAGCCATCGAGCCCGGCCACTATTATATAATTTAAGTAATATTGACAAAGAATGCATTAGTGTACTGAAACACAATAAAGAGCACCCATAACTCTTACCTTTAGTGTTTATTTTACTAGCCATTCCAGGAGGCAAGTAGGAAACAACTAGTTCAGGTCTAGAAAAAAAATCAGGAAATGTTACAGTAGTCAGTACAATGGTAGTCTCCACAGCTAGTATAGTCAACCATGATCAGTGTTTGATACGTAGGTCTTCACAGAATCATCTGTAAAGCCACAATAATTCCTTTCATTATGGACCAAAAACCATGCTTTTTCCTTCTCATGACTACCTGATAAGTGATTTTAAATAATTGTATCAAGAGTAAATGACTTCCTTCATGAAAAAGAAAATTGACACTTTACTTTTCTTCGACCACTGAATTTCTCCAGAAATGCAGACACAAAAACTTAGCCATTGATATTCAGTTGCTCACAAGATCGACCAGGAATAAGAGAGCAGGTATAAGTCAGCAAATTAAACTTCTTCTCAAGCATTTAGGAATACTTAATACAGCTGTGAGGCAGCTGTCACTGCTTTGCTTGCACTGATGAAGGTGAGAAAGCACAGGATAGAGGATTTGCAGAGGCAATCAATAATGCCAGGACGACCGCGAGAGTCAGGCCTTTCCATCAAGGATTTCAAAGCCACACCTGTCACCTCATGCTAGGAAAAACTTTTAAGGGAAATAAGATTTCATTGTTTTAATTCCAGAAATAACTACCTGACAAATAGACTTACTTTTTAACAACAAACTTGATTTTATTACTCCCACGGACAATTCTTTCAAGTCGTGGAATTCCAAACCAGGTAGGACTTCGAAAGGGAATTCCTTCGGGCAAGCCTTCCACATAAAGGAACTCAGGATTTGATTCAAACACAGGATATGGTACTTTTACTGCCTCAGTAAGTCCCAGAGCTTGAGCTGAAAGTAGAAAAGAACAGAATTTGTTGAATATAAAAGTTTACACAGACTTTGTGAAAATTGTATCTGCATTCTCAAATAAGTTACATACAAGTTCCCCATAATCTAGCGATATCCACTTATTATTGAAGGCATTTTGCTTAGTATATTGGGCAAATCTGAAGAACAAGCCTAAAAAGTAAATTCTTTCAGGAAAAACATTTTAACACTTCAAATCAAAAGGATAGTTACGTTGTTAGTCAAAATGATTTCTGTGCTCTGGGCAGCAGTGACCTAAGGCCATTTCACACCTACCCAGCCTTTACGTTATCATACAGATGCAAGTTGGCTACTGAAAAACAGGAGTTGCGTAAACTGCATCTAAGCAGAACTCATTATGTTACGAGTGATCAGAGGAAGAGTAGTCAAGACTCCTGATCTGGGCCACCAAACATCAATACCAGGTATTAAAATCATGGATAGGACTGCCCCGGGAACACTGCTAACACTCCCCACTCCTTACTTCCTTTTCCATGACAGACACACCCAATCAACTGAAACACTCTTTCTTGCTGAGCCTCCTCAGAATCGTTCTCAAGACAGCGCTCCAGGAAACCGCTGTCAACAAATCTAAGTTGAAACAAATGATGAAACCTATTTGCCATCCTGGTGTTAGGCAGATTAGAAGTACAGACAGTGGAACTGAGGTTTATCCCAACTCCTCCCTTCCTCTCCCATTTTGACATATGAGAAAACTGAATCCAAGAGAAATAAAGTAATCGGCTTGGTTTAAGTCGCAAGTTAAGCAGTAGAAATAAACCAAAACGCAGTTTCTGGGACCTTCCTTCCTTAGGTCCTTGACTTCTACAGTTCATTCAAACATGGCCCTTCATGTACATGTTTCAAAATGATAGACATAAACCTGTGTTTTACTTACCAAATTTCAAATTGAAAATCTCTTCTACTTGCTTCCGTAGCTTGGTGATTCTGACATTCCAATCTTCTTTGACTGGAAAACAGAAAGAAGTCTTAATTAACAGTGTTATCTGTTGGTGCTGTCACAAATCAGATTGAATTCAGGGACCAGAATGTGGACACCCTTCTTTGCAGTGACACTCTCAATTCAATTTTAGCAAAAACAAAAACTCGGGGTCTTAAGGAAAATATTTGTGTGTGTGTGTGTGTGTGTGTGTGTGTGTGTGTGTGTAACAATCTCCTGTGCTAGTCACATATTAGAAGAACTGCAGGGAGACAGAATTCAAATGTAAGTTCAGATTGTAAAGAAAAAAAAGCTCATTTTTATGAAAGAGCGCTCCAAATGAGTGGTTTTCACACTTCCCTCCTTAGAAGTCTATCAGGAACTCAGTCCTTGTTTTATCTACTAGATATGCACCTGGAAATCCACACAAAGCAACGCTTCACTAACCCAAGTTTTTTTTCCATTCGAGGTAAGCAGTAAAGGGGGAAGAAACTCCCGTGGGGGTCAGAGTGAAAGCAGGTGTGAGAAGGCCCAGCAGAAGGAAGCCTGGCTGCCAGAGTTGAGTCCATCGGCAGGTTCAGCCTGGCCTTGGCCGTCACAGGAGGCACGGTGAACTCTGCCTTTTATGATGTGGATGCTGATCACAGAGCTGTCATCCTTGACCGCTTCCGTGGCGTGCAAGACATTGTGGTAGGGGAAGGGACTCACTTTCTCATCCTGGGGGTACAGAAACCAACTATCTTTGGCTGCTGCTCTTGACCACGTCACACGCTAGTCATCGCTGGAGGTAAAGATTTACAGAATGTCAACGTCACACTGCGTGTCCTCTTCTGGCCTGTGCTGGCCAGTTTCCTTGTGTCTCCACCAGCACTGGAGAGGGCTACGATGAGCACGTGCTGCCATCCATCGCTACAGAGGTCCTTGATCAGTGGTGTCTCACTTGGATGATGGAGAACTAATCACCCAGAGAGCTGGTCTCCGGGCAGGTGAGCGATGACCTCGCGGGGCGAGCAGCAACCTTTGGGCTCATCCTGGGTGATGTGTCCTTGTATCTGACCTTTGGGAAGGAGTTCACAGAGGTGATGAAAGCCAAAGAGCTGGCTTGGCAGGAAGCGGAGCGGGCCAGGCTTGTGATGGAAAAGGCTGAGCGGCAGGAAAACGTGGCCATCATCTCTGCAGAGGGCAATTCCCAAGTTGAACACATTGCCAACTTACTGGCCACCATGTGCGATGGCCTGACTGAGCTGGGCAAGCTGGGAGGCAAAGCAACACTGCGCACCGGCTCTCGCATGCTCAGAACATCAGCTACCTGCCGGTGGGGCAGTCCGTGCTCCTCCAGCTGCCCCAGTGAGGGCCCACTATGCCTGTACCTCCTTGGGTCGACTGGGTCAAAGACCCAGAGATGCTTTTTTTTTTAAAGAAAGCAGGATTGGCTGGGCCCCATGGCTCACGCCTATAATCCCAACACTTTGGGAGGCCGAGGTCAGAGGGCTGCCTAAGCTCACAGGTTCCAGACCAGCCTGGGCAACTTGGTAAGACCTCATCTCTACAATAAACCAAAAAGTTAGCCAGGCATGGTGGCGCGTGCCTGTAGTTCCAGCTACTTGGAAGGCTGAGATGGAAGGATCGCCAAAGTCCGGCAGGGCGAGGTTGCAGTGGCGGTGAGCATGCCACTGCACTCCAGCCTGGGTAATAGAGTGAGACTCCAACTCAAAAGAAAAAAAGCAGAATTTATTAAGAGGACAGAAAAGCTCCCACAACGGGAGGAGATCCGAAGGGATTGCCTGACTCAAAGATTTTTAATACCACCTTCCGCCTGCCCCACCCCAGAAATCACTGTGAAATTTTATAACTGGCTTAAAGTGAAGGAAATAAAAGTAAAGTCACTTCAAGGGGGAAAAAAAGGAGAAATAAATGGCCAAGAAATTAAGGAGTTGTCGTTTAACAATACTCACATCTACAATATGGTTTATTTCCCTACCCACTGTTCACAAGATAATCATTACCTATTAAACTTCAAATCAAGAAAAAACAAGCTATTTAAAAAGTCACGTAAGATATCACTTATTTGAACAGGTGTTCAGGACTTGTTTGGTGGAGTAGTAGATGGAGAGGACAGTAGAGTTTAGACTTGGAAGCCAGGGAGGATGACTGGAGTTATGGGATGAGGATAGGCAGAGAGAGTAAGAGGAAAAGGGTAGAGGCCGTGGAAGGCCGTGGAAGAATTCCATGAGTGTGGAAGTCATCATGTTTGCTAACAAAAGGCAGTGAAAAATGCTGGAGAAATTCTGAAAATATCGCTAGCCTCGACCTTCTGGGCTCAGGAGATTCGTCCACCTCAGCCTTCTAAGTAGCTTAACTACAGGCCACATGCCACCACACCTGGCTAATTTTTTGATTTATTGTAGAGGTCTCGCCAAGTTGCCCAGGTGGGTCTTAAACCCCTGGACTCAGGCAATCCTCCCGCCTTGGCCTCCCAGAGTGCTGGGATTACAAGAGTGAGCCACCATGCCTGGCTAACATTTCCTTTATTTTATTTTATTTTTTTTAAGCTGGAGTCTCACTCTGTCACCCAGACTGGAGTGAAGTGGCCGCTCCCGGCCACCGCAGCCTCGACCTGCTGGGCTCCGGCGATCCTTCCGCCTCAGCCTTCCGAGTAGCTAGAACTACAGGCGCGCGCTACCACACCCGGCTCATTTTTGACTTATTGTAGAGATGAGGTCTCGCCAAGTTGCCCAGGCGGGTCTCGAACCCGCGGGCTCATGCAATCCACTCACCTCAGCCTCCCAAAGTGCTGGGGTTACAAGAGTGAGCCACCATGCCTGGCTAACACTTCCTTTATTTTAAAAGAAGACCTTGCTCCTCAAAGGTTTAGTATAAGTTGCTTTCTCTCTCTGGATTTCAGAGGAGCCCAACCAGTCAGCCAGAGAAAATAATCCCAGTATGAACCACATTTGAATGACCCTAACAAAGACATTCAGACCCTCTCTCTCCAAGACCAAAGTGCCTCTTTGACTTGGTACTCAGTCTCCTCTGCCCCATCCTTTCCCAGTGAAAGAAGACCTTCAAGCGGCTGGTCACAAGAGCCGTGTGTCACCTGCCCGCCCTGACCCTTCAAAGCCCATTCATCACCTGCCAAGTTCCACAACCTTCTCCTGGGTGACTTCTACTTTTCACAAACCGAGGACAGTGTACCCACAGTGAGTTTAAGCAGACGTCTCTGATGGCAATGACTCACAAAATTATTTTGTCGTGTAGTCTGTGACTTGAATTGTCCCACTGAAAGACTAATGCCCAGTCTGGTGACAGGTCAAGCAAAGTTTTTGTTGCAATGAGAAACAGCCACTTTTAACTCTTTCCAAGGTCTTTTATGGATGGCAGAAAGTCAAGTATTGTTAGTGGCTGGGAAAATCAAGATTCTCCTTTTGATGACAGCCCGTTAAGCTATGCTTGAAGAGAGGAGATGAAGTATTGCTGGCGTACCTAAATCCTTGAAGTAAATTCTATGGTGTTTGCATATTCTTTAAGTAGTACATGTTTCGCACTACCAGTTTTTGCAGTTCCTGCTATAATTATCCCTAATAAAAGCAGTAATTGCACTAATCACAACCTTGCATTTGAGGTTTGTCTTGGGAATGAAGTTTTCTACAGGCACTCATTACGTTCGGACTAATCCAAACTAAAACAGTATTTTTCTTTCTCCATTATTTCCCTTTTACCTGGTGTCACTTGGTGTCACTTCCAGACTTCAATTCATCACCAATACTTTGACACTGGGTCTAAATCAAATGCATGCTGAGGAGGTTAACCTATGGGTTATAGTGATTTGTATCTTCTCCACTGCAGGACTCTTGGCACAGAATAATTTTGTTACCCTGATCCAGAATCTTTAAACCGATTTTCATGCCATGATACATATGAAATCTGTTTGGCAATCATGAACTTCACAGCAACCTGGATGGACTTAAAAGTCTATAACACTGAGTGGATTGTTCACAGAAACAAAGAACTGAGTATCACATGTTCTCGCCCATCAGCGGACCTTGAATAATTATCACAATACTTTAAGAGAATGATTGGCAGTAGTGGGAAACTGCCGGGAGCAGGGCGGGGAAGTGAGATTGGCAGTAGTGGGAATCTGCCTGGGGAAGGGGGGGTGGCGGCCACAGTTCATTAACAAGGGTACCTGCATAATGAACATTTGTATACCTAACCCTGAATTGTACCCCACATTTTTTTTTTTTGAGTTGGAGTCTCACTCTGTCGCCCAGACTGGAGTGCAGTGGCCACTCCCGGCCACTACAGCCTCGACTTGCTGGGCTCCAGCGATCCTTCCGCCTCAGCCTTCCGAGTAGCTGGAATTACAGGCATGTGCTATCACGCCCAGCTGATTTTTTTGATTTATTGTAGAGATGAGGTCTCGCTGCCCAGGTGGGTCTCGAACCCACGGGCTCAGGCAGTCCACTCACCTCAGCCTCCCAAAGGCGCGGGATTACAGGCTGAGCCACCGAGCCCGGCTACCCCACATTTTTAAAAGGAAAAAAAAAAACCCAAAACAAAATCTATTTGGCACACTGACTGACATTCCTAAATCACCCCAATGTACTTTGAGAGGAGGAGCTATATTTCAGGGCACACCTATAAACTAAAGTTACACCTTAGTATTTAGAGGAGTGACTAACTGCACAAATTTGTTCACACCCAATGTGCATGTGAACTTCATACTTGATTCCAAACACAAGGGGGGATTAAAAAAAACCCGGAATTTATTTATAAAATGTTATTTCTTCTTGCATGTTCAAACTTCAGTCACCTTCAAACTACTCTCCATTTGTTGCAATACACCTACTGAGATGCTTTGTCCACACTTTTTGAACTTGTTGGGTTTTGTCTTCTAGTGCTTCTGCTAATTTTTTTTCTTTTTGAGTTGGAGTCTCACTCTGTCACCCAGACTGGAGTGCAGTGGCCGCTCCCGGCCACTGCAGCCTCGACTTGCTGGGCTCCGGCGATCCTTCCGCGTCAGCCTTCCGAGTAGCCAGAATTACAGGCACGCGCTACCACGCCTGGCTAATTTTTTATTTATTGTAGAGATGAAGTCTCGCCTGCCCAGGCGGGTCTCGAACCCGCGGGCTCAGACAATCCACTCACCTCAGCCTCCCAAAGGCGCGGGATTACAGGCTGAGCCACCGAGCCTGGCTTATTTTTTGTTTCCTCTCTTCTACATTGGCAAAACGTTTCCCTTTGAGGACTTTTGTCATGCAGGGAAACAAAAAAAAGTCGCTTGGGCAAGATCGGATTAAGAGGGAGTGTGGGAATGGGGTTCACGCCATTTTGGGCCAAAAAACGGCTGAACACTCAGCGTGACGTGGGCTGGTGCGCTGTCATGGTGGAAGAGCCAGTCACCTGTTTGCCACAACTTGGGACACTTCTTTCACAAATCATCTCTCACAACAATCGCTGGGACACTGATGTCAATGGGTTCCGAACACTTAAGCGGCAAGGGAAGCCTGTGCTACGAGGAGCCCACCTTCCAAAAGATAATTCTGGTTTTTCTGGGCCCCCCTCGTGTTTCTGGCAACACCAAACTTCACACTACAGGGAATGGCCATTTGTTGGTCTTGGCAACAGAAGTTCCTAAGGTGACAGATGAGTTACAAATTGTGGTGGCTTATTTTGTTAAGCAACAGCATACAAAAGATGGGAAAGAAAAAAAGGCACACTTGGAGCTTTGATAAAAAAATAAAATCAATCATTCAACTGAGACTTCTTAGATCAAAATAAGTAGCCTGTTAGGCTGTGACACCAGTGTTCAGGCTGGAATTACAGTTATTTGTCATTTTAACAGCAGGTTCCATGTAAAGATTAAGGTCTAAATGTAGATATTCCGAGATGGCAGCTACTAGCCCTGAGCAGCTGAAATGTGGCTAGTTGGAACTGAAATAGGCTGTGAGTGTAAAAGACACACAACTGTCAAGTAAAGAATGTAAAATACTTCATTGTGTATTTATTTATAATGATCACAGGTCAAAACACACAACTTTGGCTACTAGAAAATATAAAATTACACATGCGGTTTGCATCTGTGGCAAACAATTCTATTGGACAGCACTGGTCTAAATTCAAAGTTTGAGTTATCCTCAAACTGCATAGGTACATACTGATAAAACAAGGAGAGCCTGTATTGCGCTTCTGCAAAAAGATTTTTGGGAAGGTCAGGGAGGGAGGAGTCTCTGTTTTTAAAAAATTAAAAATGACTGATCTAAGCTTTTAAAATGGACTTTGCAACTATTTTACCTGGTGTGTTCGTTCTCGGCTGAGTAACTTCAGTTGTACTGTGAGTCAGAAGCTCTGGTCTGTAAAAATATGGTTCATATTAGTAGCTTTAGGAACAACTTAAAGGCCCTTCCCACACAGCTGTGCATTGCCGATTATTTTTAAAAACGGTCCATTCTGCCTTCATGTACAGTATAAAAAAATCATTTGGGTGATTCTAGTTGAGTTTGAAAATAGCAATGTTCACACATTGAGGTGGGACCACCTGGATGTCTCCAAAGGCATCTTACACATAAACATGCAAAACAGTTGCTCTTCCCCCCAAACTAGTTTTGCTCCATTTCTCAATTTTGCATGAGCTATCCTACGGCACTGTGAGAAACAGCTTGCTAAACCTTCTAAAATGCTTCTTACAGCACCCCCCATCAGTAAGCAAGCCTCTACCCCTTCGACTGCCTTCCTGAGTAAAGACAGGCCTTCTGTTCCTACTGCTTGCACTAAAACCACCCACTCTGCTACTCGCCAAATCAAGCCAGAATCATCTTTCTAAAGTGCAAATTCAAATTATTTTAAGAGGGATCTGCTATAAGACCTTAACTGCTGTGGTAGGAGCTAAGGCCTTTCCCCACTGGGTCAACTGCGTCTATCTGTCCAGTCACACCACACCCACGCGGCACCGCTGGCTCCACACACGATGGGTTGGCTAAGTGAACATGCAGGCATATCTGACACCTCCCTGTCCGTACTTATATCATTTCTTTTATTTAAAACACCCAGTCTCTGACCAATCTGGATGTGCTACCCTCCTCTTCTTCTCTGAACATGTTCAATAACATGTTTTTGCATTTCTCTTTGCATTAAGCCTCCCAAGGACGTGGTTCCCGCTAGATCCAATTCTGTATATGTGATGCCTGTACTAAGTAACTCTTTGTTCAAAAAGTGAATCTCAATGTAATGCCTTAATTTTAAGCATAAAAAGGAAGGCCTAATGAGAGGGGAACAAAAGGCCCACGTTCAAATTCACCTTTCCTTAGAGAACACATTCAAATGTGTTTCAGCAGATTATAATCTTACCTCTTAATAACAAATTTAATCCGATTGCCCACTTGAATGATTTTTTCCAGTCTAGGGATTCCATACCATGAGGGACTTCGAAAAGGAATGTTTTCCGGTAGTCCTTCCACATACAGATCATTAGGGTGTGCCTCAAATTTTTGGTATGGTACAGCCTTGGCTTCAGTGCTTCCCAAGGCTTCAGCTGAACAAAATCAAAGAAAATCAAGAGATTAAATGAATTCATATTTTAATACAATCCAAAGCAAGCTACACATCAATGTTTTTCTAATTGGAAATACTCTAGAAGCATATTTACTGATTATTGAAATAGACTTAAAACAGCAAAGGCAAATAGAAATGACCCATAATCAACAGGTAGAAGTGGGCAGATGAACTTTTCTTCCTGCAATATCCTTAGGAAGAAAAGGGGGGAAACACCATGACAAACAATAAAGAAAACAACCAAAACACTAATTCTCCATATCTGGAAGCAGATTATCTACTACTGACTGTTGGATGACCACACGAGTCCCCTTCTACTGGCCACCTGCAGGCTGTGCTTTCACCTGCACCGCAGTCCTGAGATCAACGTTCTTTACCCCTTGAGCCTCATAAGTGCCTCATTTTAAAAGGAAATAACTTTCCACAAAGAACTTGTGGAATGGGAAGTAAAAGCAGTAAGCAGAGGCTGGCTTGGTTTAAAAGAGGCAGAACAACCCAAATTAATGCATGAACTTCGTTAGGATCCACGTTCAAATCACAATTTTTCAGATAAATGCAGATGAACTAGGCAAAGGACTGCGTATGAGCGGATGCAAAAAAAAAAAATCACGCTAATTTTGTAAGGCATGATAATGACACGGTGGTTGTGGGAGAAAATGCTAACATTCAGGGAGGTGCCGTGAGCAGATGAAAACGACACAAGTCTTGCTACTTGCTTTACAACAGGCCTGCAACGAAAGAAAGAAAAGAGCAAACTGTAGGAAAGCCTTAATAACCATAGGAAGTGAGTGACGGGCGTCTATTTTAGTGCGTGTTGTACTATTCTACTCGCTGAATAGGTACAAAAATTGCGATTTTCAGGATGTAAAAATGAACTTACTGATCCCTGCTTTAAAGATACATCTAGTTTCACAGATCTCCCTTGTATCTCAGTATGCGGTATTTAACCCTTCACACTCAGAGACATCTCGTGGATCACCTACCAGGAACTTGACAACACTTTTTCACACAACAGCGAAAAGTTAATCACTTCATACGAAATAGCACAGCACCGAAACCAATTATTTTACTGTCATGATATTTGGCTTATAACGGAAATTTGGACATTGAGGAACTTATCTATGACAACTGGATCTCTTATATTTTTCTTTTTCTTTTTTTTTGAGTTGGAGTCTCATTCTGTCGCCCAGGCTCGAGCACAATGGCATGCCCACGGCCACCGCAGCCTCGACCTGCTGGGCTCAGGTAATCCTTTCGCCTCAGTCTTCCAAGTAGCTGGAACTATAGGCAAGCGCCACCACACCCGGCTAATTTTTTAATTTATTGTAGGGATGTGGTCTCGCCAACTCGTCCAAGCTAGTCTCGAACCCATGAGGCTCAGGCCATCCTCTCACCTCGGTCTCCCAAAGTGCTGGGATTATAGGCATGAGCCGCCATGCCCAGCCTATCTTGTATTTTTCTAAGGTGTACAAACAGTCACTAACATGCACTGCAGGTTCATCGATACATGTTGGGCAACAGTAATTTGTTTGATGTTCTACCTGGTGTTTTTCTTTTTTCTTTTTTTGAGTTGGAGTCTCACTCTGTCGCCCAGACTGGAGTGCAGTGGCCGCTCCCAGCCACCGCAGCCTCGACCTGCTGGGCTCCGGCAATCCTTCCGCCTCAGTCTTCCAAGTAGCCAGAATTACAGGCACACTACCACGCCCGGCTGATTTTTTAATTTATTTTCTATTGGAGCAGACAACACAGTCTAGTTTTCTTCCTCCCACACTAATAATATGTAACTTATTGTCCAGTCTGTTGTTCAAAGATGTGGAAAGATGTACTCTTGATTCCTGAAAACCACTTCTCAACTGATCAGTCATATCTCAGTAAATACGCCATCTCTTTATTTGCTTTTTCATGCAATGTGAATGGAAAACTTCAAGGAAACATACATCTTTTAAAAATCTGTGCCAGTGCAAGTTTGTTCTGTACAATCATCAGCCATCTTTTTATGGTCCCCGAGAGGGGACATCCAAGTGCAAAGGGTTAAAGATTTCACAACCTGATGATTTAGAAGGAATGGCTCAAAGCTAGGTGCAGTGGCACAAAGTTCAAGTTACTTGGAAGGCCAAAGTGAGAGGATCATTTGAGCTCAGGAGTTGCCAGTCGGGGCAACATAACAAGATCCTATCTCTTTAAAAAAAAAAAAAAGGCTGGGCGTGGTGGTTCAAGCCTATAATCAATCCCAGCACTTTGGAAGGCCAAGGTGAGGGGACTGCCTGAGTCCACAGGTTCAATAACAGCCTGGGCAACTTAGTGAGACTTCATCTCTACAATAAATCAAAAGATTAGCCAGGCGTGACGGTGTGCACCTGTAGTTCCAGTTACTTGGAAGGCTGAGGTGGAAGAATTGTCTGAGCCCAGTAGATCAACGCGGGGGTAGCCATGAGCGTGCCACTGCACTCTAAGCTGGGTAATGGAGTGAGACTCCAATTCAAAAAAAAAAAAAAAAAGGAAGGGACTCACTGATGAATTAGTTTGCATGCCTTTGTTCTTGACTGACTTTCCTCTCACTTCTAAAGACCCTCTGTCTTAATTTCTTTCTTCATGTTATTAACACTAAATTTGAAGGGCTCCAGTATAGGAATTCTTTGAGATAAGTAAGAAGTGTGTTTCTGAAAAAGTACACAAAATGTAATAACATTCAAAACTATTAAAAGAAACATGCCCATAAACAAATAACAATAAGGGGTTAGAAACCTTCAGTTACATCTTGGGACAATATTAAATGCAATTATTCTATGAAATTTAACAAGAAAAAATTTAAATCTAATTCTTTTTTTTCTTTTTTTGAGTTGGAGTCTCACTCACTCCATTGCCTAGGCTTGAGTGCAGTGGCATACTCACAGCCACCCCAGCGTTGAACTGCTGGGCTCAGGTGATCCTTCCGCCTCAGCCTTCCAAGAACCACAGATGAGTGCTAACACGCCCAGCTAATTTTTTTATTTACTATAGAGACGAGGTCTCACCATGTTGCCTAGGCTGGTCTTGAACCTGCGGGCTCAAGCAATCCTCTCGCCTCAGCCTCCCAAAGTGCTAGGACTCCAGGCTTGAGCTACTACATCCAGCTATAAATCTAATTCTAACAAACTTTCTGTAAAATAAAAAAGAACCATCTGGGAACGGTGGCTCACGCCTGTAATTCCAGCACTTTGGGAGGCAGAGGTGAGAGGATTACCTGAGCCCATGGGTTCAAGACCAGCCTGGACAACTTGGCGAGATCTCATCGCTACAGTAAATCAAAAAAATTAGCTGGACGTCATGACACCAGACTGTGGTTCCAGTTACTGGAAGCCTGAGGCAGAAGGATCACCTGAGCCCAGCAGGTCAAAGCTGCAGTGGCCGTGAGTATGCCACTGCACTCCAGCCTGGGTGACAGAGTGAGACTCTGACTCAAAAAAATAAAATAAAATAAAATAAAGTAAAAAAGAACCAATTATTGGAGCTAGAAGAGAGAAGTTTTAGAAAAAGGTGAAGGCCAAGTGTAGGACTTGCATATCACATGATCAATGAGGCCACCCCAATAACAACTTCCTGTCCCTATTCTCTTTATTCTGCATAATTCTTCACACTTTCTCATATAGTAAATATATCCCATTCACTGTGCATGTTTCCCTACTAGAATTAATGCTCCGTAATGAATGGGGGCAGGGCATTGTCTTCTGTGCTGCCGAGTTCACAGAATCTGATGCGCAGGTGTTCACAGGTGCAAAATATCTGCAGGGTTATGCTGCCGGAAGTAGCGAATATTTCCTCAATTCTTGGAGCAGTTAACAGCGGTGGTAAATCTACGTTTTCCTTTCAGGACTCTTAAAGAAAGCAGCAATACTGCTGGCTTCTTACTCTCCTAGATCTGCCGGAAGCCATAAGTACTAACAGAAAGAGTCAGGCTTTTATTGTTTGTAAGTAACAATTAGTCAGCAATTCATTGATGTTCTTAGCTAGGATAAACAGCCAAAACACTTTCTCCTGGCCACTTTCTCTTTATGTGAGCCAAGCGAATACTCAACAGCCTCTTCTTTCTAACAGGCAACAGTCAGCAAGCACCTTGGCAAGCACCGATGATGCCATCGGGTTTGGCTGATTCTCTACCTTGCTCAATTTCCAGAACTAAACAACGTGAGGGCCAGGCTGATGCCTGTTCATGCAGATACTCCTTCTCATCCATCATCTACTCATGGAATCATGATGGCATTATGGTGGTATCTCTACTGATAAGCAGTGTTCATTACCTGATTCATTTTACTGAATGTCTTAGAATTATAATGATTTTTAAGGTGGGGAGGATTCTTTATTGTTCATTAGCTGATTTCTGACCAGATAAAAATATCACAAAGGATACTGATGAGCAGGAGAAACTTCAAAGTTTGCCCTTTTTAGATGCACTAAGTTCTCAGAGAGGCAAAAGAGTATATAACAAGTAAAATAAAGAAAGTGATAAGCCAGGCTCGGTGGCGCAACCTGCAATCCCGTGCTTTGGGAGGCTGAGGTGAGTGGATTGCCTGAGCCCGCGGGTTCGAGACCCGCCTGGGCAGCGAAACCTCATCTCTACAATAAATAAAAAATTAGCCGGGTGTGGTAGCACGCGCCTGTAATTCCGGCTACTCGGAAGGCTGAGGCGGAAGGATCGCCAGAGCCCAGCAGGTCGAGGCTGTGGTGGCCGGGAGCGGCCACTGCACTCCAGTCTGGGCGACAGAGTGAGACTCCAACTCAAAAAAAAAAAAAGAAAGAAAAGAAAGCGATAAATACATGCATTCTGCAAGTAACATACCATCAGTGAGCTAAGTTTGTAGCTGCCCACTGAGTTCCACCTAAAACCGAGTCTGTTAAGACTCAGAAAGTGCCACGCATGGTAGTCATGTCCTACTACAGACTCCTCACTCAGGAGTCGTGGCTTTTGTGTGCTAACACACAAATGGCTTGTTTCAGGCAACAATGAGGGACCCTGTGGCATCTGGACAGTGCTCTCCACTGCCCACTGACAGTTCTATGGCACTTCTGTATGTGGCGCCTTCTCTACTACCTGTGGCCTCCAGGTGCTACGATGTATGCTGCGTGACCGAAGAAGGTCTCAGGCATTTCTGAGTGGACTCTAGGCCTGTTGACTAGCAAGGCCTGCTGACTCTACATTTATTTATTTATTTATTTATTTATTTTTTGAGTTGGAGTCTCACTCTGTCACCCTGACTGGAGTGCAGTGGCCACTCCCGGCCACCGCAGCCTCGACCTGCTGGGCTCCAGCGATCCTTCCGCCTCAACCTTCCGAGTAGCCGGAACTACAGGCGTGCGCTACCACGCCCGGTTGATTTTTTTTGATTTATTGTAGAGATGAGGTCTAATTACCCAGGCGGGTCTATTTTCCTCCCTGTCAGCCACCCACTCACCTCAGCCTCCCAAAGGCGCGGGATTACAGGCTGAGCCACCAAGCCCAGCTGACTCTACATTTAAAACATATCCCAAATCCTAGGCCAGGCTCGGTGGCTCAGCCTGTCATCCCAGCACTTTGGGAGGCCTTGCTTGACTGGATGCAGACAGGGAGGAAAATAACAACTCAAGGGTAACTAGCTCCCAAGTGTTTGGATTGGGCGACTGGGTAGAACGGGAGAGGAACATGACAGAGAGGGTGCTCAAGAACTCTGTTCAGGACATGGGAAGTCTGGAGAGGTGTCGAATAGGTGGGTAGATATAAAGGTTCCCTGCGAAGGGGAATTTTTAGGGCCAGGAATAGAGGATATCAGGATACAGACAATACATTATTCTTAAGATGTGAGGCAGAGTGGGATTGTCCGTGGAGAAAGCACGGTAAGAAAAGAGAAAGAGAAAGAAGGCTCAGGACTAAGCTCTAGACCAGCACTCCCAAGTGTACAGAGCAGACACGGGGAGGGAGAAGCAAGACACTGAAAACAAGACGGGAAAAAACAGGAAGGAGTCAAAAGGTTTGACAGTTTCCATAAAAGCAGTTTGAAAGAGAAGGGGGAGGGGGGAAAAGAAAGAGGAGGAGGAGGGGGAAGAGTGTAACATTCTGCTGGCAGTGACTCTGGGTGACAAAATATGTTGTCATGATAAAGCAAAGCTCAGTATTTTAGGTGTTTATGAGTGTTTAAGAAACAAGACAAAAACAACAGCACGGGCCAGGCTGCATCTTCCACTAGCCAGTACTGGCCTGCTACTGTGGCCCTTCTGGACGAAGGCAAAGACCCAGAGAGAACAGGACCCAAATTGTGAGATGCCCTCAAATGTATAACCTGTACTGCACAAATCCCTATACTGCATTAAAAAAAATTACTCAGTAAAGGACACTTGGGGGTTTCATTACCCTATTCTGTCCTGTTTTATACAGCATTCAAACTTTTAACAGTAAGTACATATTATAAAACAATAAAACTCACTGAGTCATGCTCATTGTATTTATTTTCTTATAATAAAAAAAAATTTTTTGTGAAGTTTTCAAGCAAAGTTTATTTAGAAAGTGAGAGAGAGAGAGAGAGAGAGAGAGAGAGAGAGAGAGAGAGGAGATTCACCTCCCCAAGATAGGGGAGGAGGCAAGGCCATAAAACAAATTTTATTTTAAGCATTAACCAGTAATACACTTTACTTGAGGGGGAGAAAACAGACTTACCAAATTTTTTGCAGAAAAGCTGATCTACCATTTTTCTTAATTTAGTGATTCTGGCATACCACTCTTCCTTTACTGTAAGAAAAACAAACATACAAATTTCTCAATCTGTTGGATTTAACAACTTAGGTATTAAATATTATGATTACAAAATAGATGGTATTACTTGTCCTCTTCCTGTGACTAAAATTATTTCTAAGATTTCAGGACGCATTTAGTACTAAAACAACACTGACACTGCACAGAAAGAGAACCAAAGTTCATTAAAGCTCAGAATCAGCAGAACTCAGTTAACTCAAGAAAAGCTAGCAGGTGATTTTTGCTATGATAAATGTAGGGAGAGGACACTGCTGCAATCCTTCAATTCCACCAAATCTAAATGGTGTGACTCCATGTGGTTGTGTGCCCCTCTGCTCCACTCCACTCCAGAGCAAAAGCAAATTACATTTGCGTTTCCTTCAAAAGACATCTAACAAGCAAGAGATGATAGATAACCATGCCTGCATGCTCTGAAAGGTACATTATTTTTATATTTTAGGTACATAATATAATATAGTATATAACTGATGAATGATTATTCAAAGTGACAAATATAGACTTAAATAATAAATAGTTCAACACATCACGACAGATAAATTTTGTATCTCCAAAGTAAAACAGAGCCAGACATGGTGGCTCACGCCTGTATTCCCAGCATTTTGGGAGGCAGAGGCGAGAGGATTGCCTGAGCCCAGGGGTCTGAGACCAGCCTGGGCAACTTGGTGAGACCTACAATAAATCAAAAAATTAGTTGGGCATGGGGGCGCACACGCTTCTGGTTGTAGCTACTTGGAAGGCTGAGGCAGAAGGATTGATTGAGCCCAGCATTCTGACAGAAGATGGAAGGACAGAAGGATGGGAGCGAGGGAGGAGAACAGACACAATTCTTTTACTCCTATCTACCTGTAAATGCAACATTTACATGTAATAAGGGGTTAATAAGAAAATTAGTTTATTCTAGACAGTATCAGACAGAACTTTGACAATATTAATTTTCCTGTAACAGCAAATAATTTAAAGACATTCCTTCATGAAGAAGGTAACATAAAGAAGAAACACACGTTTCTTTAAGTATGAAATAATTATCGTACATAATGTCCTGAGTTGACACAGACTGAAGACCTACCTCCTGAAGCTGGTTTATCAAGCTGTAAATCTTCACGTGTTGAATTCAGAAGTTCATGTCTGAAAGGTAAGAATAAGTACTAAAAATTCACTAGGCAATATTCAGCAAAGTAGTAACCGCTACTACATATTTAATATTTGGTCACCAAGGCTGGTTTTGAAAAGACAAGACGATTTGGATGCTTTATTTAGCACAAGTCTTTTTTTTTTTTTTCACGTTTCAGGTTTTTTATAAAGGATACGGATGAAGAGATATACAACAGGGCAAGAGGTATGGGGGAACGGTGTGGAGCTTCCATACCCTCCCTGGACACACCACCTGCCTGGAACTTCCAGGTATTCAACTGGCCAGAAGCTCCAAGCACAATTAAATGTTAATTTGCGATTTCTACACAATAATCAAACAAAATGGCAATCGCAAATCGTTTCATAAAGTGCCTCACGGAGCATGTGTCCTCATAGTAGAAGAGGTTACTTTGCAACCCACAGGGGTTTTAAGCCTATCACAAAAATTTTAATGGGATCCTTTAATTTCACCACTGTATTCAAGACTACCTTCCTTCACATTTATCAGAACAATCAAATATTCCCACATATGCTTGAAAATGTAAGCCCTAAAGACAAAATGTGGATATTACTTTCTTTAGCAAACTTGGCAGAAAACTGTGAAAGAAAATGTGAGTTGTGTGCCAATCAGATACGGGCAGTGTCCATGTTCCAAAAGCCAACGATGGTACAACAGATGCAATCTTGGACCCAGATAAACTAAAAAGTGGAAAATAAAAGTACATATAACTCAAACTTAATTTAAATATAAGGCTAGTGGGTTACTAAATATTTGTCAACAATAAAAATAACGCACTAATCAGAAGAAAGACAAGAGTCCAATAAGAGTCCAAGAGTCTTACTTCTTAATCACAAAACGAATCCTTTCCTTCGCAAGTAATATCCTTTCCAGGCGAGGAATGCCGTAAGTAGATGGCCTTCTAAAAGGAATTCCTTCAGGAAGTCCTTCTACATAAAGATCTTCAACATGAGACTGGAAAAGAGGGTATGGGATCGTCACCGGGCCTTTGGCTTTTATAGCTTGAGCTTTAAGGATAAAGGGAGAAAGGGATATCATTTAGGCAAAGTTTGTAGAAAATAATAATAACTAAATATGTACTGCTCTTTCACTTTTACAATTTGAGCTCCACTTCTGTTATTATAATTGAATCAGGAGAAAATTAGTACTCGAGTACTAAAAAGAACACCAAAGATGTCAGTATTCTTAGTCTGCAGTGAAACATTCATGACTTTCAGGTAACGTAGATATAGTCAGACTTTCTACTGAAATCTCAACATTACGAAGCCAGAAAAACAAACCAGCTGATATCATTTAATACAAATAGTACTAAATGGAAGAGAAGCAATATCTTAAAAACATTAACATAACCATTATTGAATTAACAACATAATTTCTTTTAAATCACAGAAGATTTGCTGAACTGCAAAATTTCTGCTAACATGTATTTTCCAAAAGTAAAATTTTAACAACCGCTGTAAAAAAAATCAAAGCATGGGGAATATTAATAATCAAACATAATGAATGGTTTTCTATCAGAACAGTGCCATTTTTTGGCTGGCAGCGTGTCTATTTGCTAAACACTAATATTTGTCCGAAAGTTTCAAGCATAGTGTATTACACATTCATCTTGAGTTAGACTTAACAGCCTTTCCTGATGCCCTAATTCTGAATCCAATATTTACATAGCACAATGAAATTATCTTCCCCTAAGGCAATCACCATTAATATTGCAGTGAAATTATAAAATGTAACTAGTGTTCTCATAATTTCACAACTGATACATATTATTTGTTTTTCTTTTGAGAAGAGGTCTCATTCTGTCACCCAGGGTGTGGAGTGACACAATCACAGCTCACCACAGCCCTGAACTCTTGGGCTCAATCCATCCTTCTGCCTTAGCCTCCCAAGTTATTGGGACTACAGGCATATGCCACAACACCAGGGCTAAATTTTTTGAATTTTTTTGTATAGAGACAGGGTCTTGCTATGTTGCTCAGGCTGGTCTTGAATTCCTGGCCTCAAGCAATCCTCCAGTCACTCAAAGTGCTGGCATTACAGATGTGAACAACCATGCCTAGCCTATTCATTTTCTGATATGCAAAATCATCTACTAAATCACCATCATAACAAAAGCTCTAAAACACTTTATGAAAAGCACTGATGTTTATAAGACTGCTGTAATAGTAAATTATTTTTACTCAGAATAGAACTAAATTAAGAATACAGTAAAAATATAGGCTGAGTGTGGTGGATCTCGCCTGTAATCTCAACACTTTGGAAGGCTGAAGTGGGAGGACTGCTTGAGGCCAGGAGTTCCAGACCAGCCTGGGCAACATAGTGAGAGATCTCTATAAGAGATCAAAAACATTAGCCAAGTGTGGTGACACACATTAGTAGTCCCAGCAACCAGGGAGGCTGAGGAGGGAAGATTGCCTGAGGCCAAGAGGTCAAGGCTGCAGGGATTATGTCAGTGCACACCAGCCTGGGTGAAAGAATGAAAGCTCAGTTCAAAAAAATGAAAACAAGCCGGACTCAGTGGCTCAGCCTGTAATCCCGCGCCTTTGGGAGGCTGAGGTGAGTGGATTGCCTGAGCCCGTGGGTTCAAGACCCGCCTGGCCAACTTGGCGAGACCTCATCTCTACAATAAATAAAAAAATTAGCCGGGCATGGTAGCACATGCCTGTAATTCCAGCTACTCGGAAGGCTGAGGGGGAAGGATCGCCGGAGCCCAGCAGGTCGAGAGCGGCCACTGCACCCCAATCTGGGCGACAGAGTGAGACTCCAACTCAAAAAAAAAAAAGACACAGCAAGGCATTGTTTCCCCAGAGCCTATGATCTCATCACTGTGTTACAGTGCTTTCACGCAGCATGTCATGAGGGTTTTGCTTTAAAACGACTCAACACGAAAAAACAGGGAAAAAGACTTAAAGTGTTAAAAAGTGGGAGAAACAATAAGAGAAACTAAGGAAATAACTAAAAACATTATGGAAAACTTATTGAACTCATTAGCAAATTTACTCTAATTCTAGACATTCACTGAGTAGGTTAACTTATGACAAAGAAACAAATGCTCACTTCATTAACATAAATATTATCAATATGGTTTATCATGTAAGAAATTAAGATAAAACTCTGTGTACCACACAGTTTTTCAGCTTGCCAGCTGATTGCAAAGAGTCATCCAAGTAAAAAAACAGCAAAACAAACGATGTTTTTCACTGACTGTTGCAATTTTTAGGTGAGCATATATACACCATCCAGACACAATAAATTCTTTCTTTCTTTCATCATTATATAAAGGTGGCTATAGGATACAAGAGAAAAGTAAAAGGGTAAGGGACTTGAAATCTAACTTAAACTCAGTTATGTATCAAGATAAAAGTAGAGACAGTAAGGGCATCTCGGTGAATAGAATAGGTTTAACATAGCACATTAAGAGAAACTATTACTTAAAATAATCTTCAATTAAATCCCAAGATCCAGGGCTTTGCAATAAATATGTAAACAAATCCCCAAATATGCAGGCTGAAAGTTTAAGAGAAACATTAATTGATAATTAAAGAAATGACACTTTTCCTTAGCTTGTGCTAATCTGGAAACATTGTTTCTAATATTTAGACAGAAAGGACCTTATAAGGAGACAGAAAGGACCTTATAAGTAAGGCACAATTTACTGGCAGAGTTGGATTTGTTCACGTGACCTTCCATGAGGAACAGTAACTCCATTGTTTAAATGCTTATGATCACAGTATTACAAGAATTTTTTAGTTTAGACATACCATATTTTCGTTCAAACAATTCTTCGACTTGTTTACGTAGATCAGTGATTCGAGCATTCCATTTCTCTGAAAATTGAGCAAAAGTTAATTCTCAAAATGAATCCCTACATGGAGGCACTATTGTATTCTTAGGATGACCTAACATATAATTACTTATTTTCTACGTTATACACCCTAACAGTCCATTATACATTTATCGCTTTCTGAAGAACTTTCCCCTTTTTTGGCTTCTTAGAGTAAGTTTAATTGGAGATTATAAGAGACATTTTAAAATTTAGGCTGGGCACGGTGGCTCAAGTCTGTAATCCCAGCATTTTGGGAGGCGGAGGCGAGAGGCTTGCTTGAGCGCAGGGTTCGAGACCAGCCTGGACAACTTGGCAAGACCCTGTTCTCTACAATAAATCGAAAAGTTAGCCAGGAGTGGCAGCACGTGCCTGTAGTTCCAGTTATGTGAAAGGCTGAGGCGGAAGGATGGCCGGAGCCCAGCTGATGGATGTCCATTGGATTTATATATACGGTGGTGGCGGTGAGTGTGCCACTGCACTCCAGCCTGGGTGACAGTGAGACTCCAACTCAACAACAACAACAAAAATGAGTATCTCTTTTTAGTCTTTTAATTTCTGAAAAGCAGGAGGGCAGAAAAGCTCAGTCAAATAAAACACTGCAAAAGGGAGGCAAAAATGAGGAAGGTCTCCAGGGGTTATCTAGGAAACTTCCTACAACATGTCTTAGTTGTATGGAAGTAAGACTACAGACATACAGTTCCAACTCATAACAGAATGCTGCAGCATATAAACATGTAAAACTTAACGTATGGCCGGGCTCGGTGGCTCAGCCTGTAATTCCGTGCCTTTGGGAGGCTGAGGTGAGTGGACTGCCTGAGCCCGCGGGTTCAAGACTCGCCTGGGCAACTTGGCGAGACCTCATCTCTACAGTAAATCAAAAAATCAGCCAGGCATGGTAGCACGCGTCTGTAGTTCCAGCTACTCGGAAGGCTGAGGCGGAAGGATCGTCGGAGCCCAGCAGGTCGAGGCTGTGGTGGCAGGGAGCGGCCACTGCACTCTAGTCTGGGTGACAGAGTGAGACTCCAACACACACACACGAAACACTTAACGTATATATAAATTCAATGGACATTCAATAATTGTGACTATGACAAGGTAGAATATTAAAATACTATTTTCAAAATGTATACAAGCCGAATGTACTATTTATTCAAAATATGGATCACAAACATAATATGCCACTTATACTTGATTTAGTCTCTTCAACAGGACACATCATCCCCTGGGAGTTAATAGATTAGCAGCTAGCAGTGACATCAAAAAAAAACTAAGAGGAAAAACATCACTTAAATAAACAATGTCTGTATGCTACTGCAGAAAGTCTCTGGCTTTCCAAAGATGAGATTATAATCCAATAATACAGTTTTGAAGCACTTCTCCCTGCAAAGAATGTTGTAACTTTTATCAGTAACAGAAAGAGTTCTGAAGAAGCTAAAGAAAAGGACTTGAAGTTAACTGAGAACTTACCAAAGTTGAACTCTCTCACTTTTCGCTTTCCAGCATTGGCAGGTTCCGTAACTGGTGGCTGTGGTGGCTCACTGGTCTTTGGTCTCTTGGAAGGTGGAGAATAATCATCATCTTTAAAAAGAAAACGGTCATTACTGGAGGAACCGTCTTAAATGAGTTACAGCCACCACCTGCTAAATTTTCAACTTTCGAAAGGTCAGTGGGGCTTTAAAGCTGCTTCGAATTATCCATCCTTATTTATGTATTGCAATCTTCAGCTTAGTTTTTCCAGGTTACATTTACAACTTTCCTATTCTTTTGCAATGTGCTCAAGTGCATATTGCTCATTTTCCTTCTTGCTTCGTTATTTTCTAGTTTGCTTCACTTGAATTATCATCATAAATTTCCCTTTTTCAAATAATTTCCAAACAGCTGCAAAGAACTATATTCTATCTAAAGACTTTCAAGAAAAAGGTTTAAATGAAGACAGACAACTAAAAACGAAGCTTAGATGGAAAAAAATTTTAGCTTATACAAAGTAAACAGGCAAGTGGGATGTAAACAAGGTAAGTCGGATAACTGTATGTCAAACACTTTACCAAATATAAACTTGATAGGATTAAAGGAATGAGGCTACATTATTTATGAAACAGATAATTTTGATTCAGTCAACAGAGACCTGGGTTAAATGAGCAATGAGATATTCAAGCACAGAATACAGACTACTCCAAAGACTCGTATAGTAAGAGTCACATGCTAATTTCCTGGTGGATGTGTTAGCAACTCAACTCCACTATGATCCTTCAGTTCATCTAATGTTAGGAACTAGGGACATTTGTATCAAATAACAAAAGCTACCACTGTCATCTTCTTTTAGTCCCTAAAAATGTCAGGCAACATACTAAGATTTCTGCTCAAATATCATCTGTAAATTACCAAAGACACCTTTTAAAAACAAAAAAAAAGCAGGATTTTTTGAGGACAGAAAAGCTCCCACAGCTGGACCCTAGGGTGTTGTCCTAAAAATATCATTTTAAAAAATCCTTATTTAAATACTAAATTTTACATAAAATAACTGAATCTTAATCAAAAGAAATCTTCAGTGAAGCTGAAAATACTTATATCTCATTCCTATCATGGTATCAAAGAACACAACCGGACACTAATGCCCTGGCTTGCTGCCTTTGGATTCTTCCTGTAATGACAACAGTAATCTGAAATTATTTACTGACAAATAAAATTTGACTATGGCATCTGGGCTTTTATTATTATACAGATTAAAAATAGTCAAAAGATCCTATAAATAGACTCAAGTTCCAAACTAAGTAAAAACCATCTGCAAAACACGTTAGGTATCATTTATAAGTTTGGGCTTCAATTTTGAAAATATAGTTTTAAAAAACCCTATTTTCCAACTTCCAAACGTTTCCAGAACCCTAAGAGTATTTTTATGCTAGTTTCCAAAAATTAAAACAAAATATACTCATTTTACCTATCTACAAACATCATCAAAGCATTTTAAATGCTTAATATTAATACTTCTTTACCAACATTAAGCAATGACTGCTAAAATAAAAAGATTTTCCCCTAAAGGTTAATATAGCTCTAAATATCCTTATGTATAGCATCATTTAAACTGACCATTAATTGAATTACATAAAATGAAAGCTGACAGAGTACAATGAAAAGAAAAAGAAAATATAGTTGTAGGATGGAATTAAGAAAAGCAAAAGTCAGTTAAAATTAATCTCAATCCTAATCTAAACTGCTCAAAATTGAGGCCAAGGGAAAGGGAGGAGCAGGATGGTTTTGCTTTGGCATCAAGACCTCACTTTTTCAGTCAGGCAAACTTATTTCAGAACACTAAGGATTTAGCAGCATAAATCTATTTTATAAAGGTAATCTAATCGATCATAAACAAACAAAAAAAGACAAATGGATTGGAGAAGGTTTTGTTAATGTAACAATTTACAAAGACAGCAAAAGACTAAAAATACAGGTGATAACACATTTTTTCCTCCAGTGACAATGAAGTTCACACTACATATTCTACTTTAAAAAACCCATTTCAGGCCCGGCAAGGTGACTCATGCCTATAATTCCAGCACTTTAGGAGGTCAAGGCAGGAGGACTGCTTGAGCCTAGGAGTTTAAGACCAGCCTAGTCAACATAGTAAGACCTCACCTCTACAAAAAACCAAGAAGTTAGCCAGGTATGGTGGTGCGCGCCTGCAGTCCTAGCTACTTGGGAAGCTGAGGCAGAAGGATTGTCTGAACCTGGGATGTGGTGAGCCATGATTATGCCACTGTACTCACCATAGGTGACAGAGATATCAACTCAGAAAAAAAAAAGAGAGAGAGAAACCCCCATTTCATAGATTAGTTTATTAACTAATCTTTGGGTGTTTAAAGTCATATGAAACATGGAATGAAGTCATCAGAACAGCTACAGACTTAGCTACATCCATAATTTTTTTCCTTCAATAACTCTTAGCTGCAATTAATTCGTTCTGAGAAAGTATGAAAAAATGGGTTACTCTTGACCTAAAATCCTTTCCACAACGGATCAAAATTACTTTTTTCCCTGTAGCATAAAACATCAAATAAAGGTCCAGGGGTTTGCCCCAACACACTGAGCTCTGCTATTCCAAGTATTATGGTGCTTCTCCATTATAAACCCCCATTCCTGTGTAACAAGACACACACTTCAGCATGCTTCAAATTCAAGCCCAAACTCAAAATGTTTACAAAAGGAAAAGCTTTTACATTTCAAAATATCTTAATGTGTAAAAACTGCTATTCAGGCATACATAATAGTTATGCTAACTATACTAACTCTCCACACCTTCGAAAAATGGCAGCAACACTGTCCCCAACTCAAAATTTGTATTTAGAAAAACTGTTTTCCGGTTTGCAATATATTTACAAACATGCCTACAAACACAGACTTCAGAGCTAAGGTTATTTATTACTACACTCTAGCCAATGAATGAATAGATGTATAGCAATATAGCCTAATGTTGTTCTTTTCAACATTATCAAATTGGTAATGTTTTATCATAAAGCCAGACACCAATTCAAATACAAAAAAACCAGGCACTGTATCTCTTTCAAAATTTGAGTCATTATTTACCTACACAGTTCAAATCAATGGATCTCATCCTTCCCGAATGCAACTGTTCGCTCGCCTAAAATTATTTTTAAATAAACAATTGGGTATTCATTAAGCAACTTTAGCAGGTATAAAAATTAAAAACACCAGGTTTTCAAACGCTAATCTACATAGATTCTAAAAGCAATAACATTTAAGAAAAACACAATAATTAAACAACAACAAAGAGCAAAGCCTGGGGACTTTGTCTTCAAAATATACCCAGATTCAACCACTTATTATCTCCACTGCCACCAACATGTTCTAATGAACCACTTTCTGTGCCCTGGATGATTCCAGCAGCCCCCTGAATGCCACCATTGGCTCCTCTCAGTCTTTTCTCAACACAGTAGCCATGTTTCTTATAAGTGAAAAACAGAGTCTGTCACTCCTCTTTTCAAAACAGTCCAATGGATTTGCCTATCTTGTTCACTACTAAACTTGTAGCACCTGGTACAGTGCTTGGCACATACAAGGTGTTCAGTATTTGTAGAACAATTTAATGAACAGATAGGATAGGCCTTAATTACATGCAGAAGCCAAATATTCGTCAATATTCTAAATGTAAATTCCACAAAAAAGGATATCACCCGAGGATGAAAGGTAATCCAATTGTCAACTGTAAACCCTACCAAACAATAGGGTACTTCATTACGTATCTGTTTAGCAGCTATAAAAACACAAAGTTTTCAAATGTTAGCCTTCTTAATTACATAGATTCTACAAAACTACAGTACCAGCCGCAGTATATGGTAAGTGTGGAAATGTGAACCAATTATATAACTATGTGTGGAAATACATTTACATACACATTTCAAAATATGAAAATTAAAAATTTCAAAAATAGTTGAATTAGGAAGATGCGAAGTTAATCAGAAAATGAATTCACTTAAAATCAATGTCAAGAAAATAATTAGGTTAAGTAATGAACAGAGGGGTTAAGCCACAGCAGAATGAACATGTGAATGACTGAGGTTTGGGAAACAAAGCCTTAAAACAGAATGGCACAATTAAAAAAACAAAAAATAAATAAAACTTCTTTTAAACAAATGAAAATCCCTTTTTAGCAATACCATGACAACTAGACTTCAAACAATTCTGAGATAGGATTTTCTCTGCACATATAAAAGATAACTTAACAGCAATCTGTCTTAACCCAAAAACGCAGTCATGGTGTTTATGAAATTGATGCATGCACAATCATATGATTCCAAGACCTATTTCCCAAACCTAAGTCACTTAAGTTTTAGATTTAACACTGACTTCAAATACAAACGGATCACCACAAATGGAAGAACACACCTCAGAACACACCACCAGCAATGGGACATTATCTTGTATAGATTCACACATCTGCAACAATGTAAAATTAGCCTCTTCATAACTCCGCATAATTGCAAATGAAGTTATCAAGGCTAAAATACTGTGGAAAATCTGATAGACTTATTTAATGACAAACTTCTTTTTCCTTTATATAAATGATTTGGGAAATGTAGAAAGATATAACAGGAGAAAACAAAGCCATCCCCAGGAAAGCAGGAATATCTTAGGTTTTTCTGCCCATCTTCCTTCCAAGCACAAGTGTTTTCCTAAACAAAACTAAGACCATTTTTCTCTAGGTACACTTTTCCTTCTAAACTTACCTTGTTCATGAAAGGCAGGGATTATTTTTTTTACTAAACATAGTATGTAAGTGATCTTTTTTCAGATCATTTAAGAAAAAATTATCAGCATTTCAATGCCTATGTATTTTTCTATTATGAAGACATACCAAAGTTTAATTTTTAACTATGAATATTAAAATAGCTTCTATAAGCCGGGCTCGGTGGCTCCACGCTTTGGGAGGCTGAGATGAGTGGATTGCCTGAGCCCGCGGGTTTGAGACCCGCCTGGGCAACTTGGTGAGACCTCATCTCTACAATAAATCAAAAATCAGCTGGGCATGGTAGCGCGTGCCTATAATTCCGGCTACTCGGAAGGCTGAGGCGGAAGGATCGCCAGAGCCCAGCAGGTCGAGGCTGCGGTGGCCAGGAGCGGCCACTGCACTCCTGTCTGGGTGACAGAGGGAGACTCCAACTCAAAAAATAAATAAATAAATAATAAATAAATAAAATACCCGCTATAATTTTAAAGAAATCTATCAAAAGAATATACAACACATATATATCAACAACAGAGGTGCATATACGTTCTCATTTGACATTTCTTAAAATCAAGGCTTAAACTTTGCCTTCCTTAATGTTTGGCTTAAAACTTAGCAACCTGGCCAGGCGCAGTGGCTCACGCCTGCAGTCCTAGCACTTTAGTAGGCTAAGGCAGGAAGATAGCTCGAGCCTGGAGTTTGAGACCAGCCTGGGCAACGTAGCAAAACCTCATCTGCACAAAACTAAAAAATTGGCCAAGTGTGGTGGCACACACACCACCTCCTCAGTGCCACCTCCTCAGAAGGCTGAGGCAGGACAATCAACTAGGCCAGAAGACTGGAGCTGTGGGAGGCCTGGGTGACGGCGTGAGACCCTCACTAAGAAAAAGAAATTAACAGTTGCTATTACATGTGTGTGTGTCTATAAGACATGGAAAATGTTACCCTTTAAAATAATTACTTTATGCAGGCCTGGTTCATTTCATTAATTTCCTGAAAACAAAGATGCCTATATGGCAACATTCTACTACTTAATCACAAACTTGGATGTTAAATCAGGCTTATGGCACAATGTCTTAGTTCAAAAGAAAGGAGATTTTTCTCTCCCTCCAAAAACAGTTAAAGCTCAAAAGACAAAGACACGCTTCAGGTTCATGAGCTATTTATTAATTGATATTTTAAACATCTCTTTAAAAGTCTTATATTATAAAAGCAAATGTTACCATTCTAAGCAATTTTAAGATAGCCTATGCTTTAAGATTTGATAAGCCAACTTAGTAGTCCTATTTTAAAGTCTTATTTTTATAATTTCAATAATGGCCTATTATTCTTATATCTCTAGAAGGGATAAAGCTTTGAGTGTTTCTAATACTTATATGCTCTTCCATTTTTCTCCTTGCTTCCCCAGCATCTCCAACAAAAGCCAAAACAACAACAACAAAAATTTTACTCCTGATAGTTAATGAGATCTCTAAAAAGAAATTTCAGTTTCTAGACTGCAGATATTTTGAAATTGTTTTTAGATTAGTAAAATTAATGAAAAAAGAAATCCATATATTAAATCGAGACTAACACATGAAATGTGAAAAGATTTCCTGTGTTAGATGGACGCTCCTAATCAACTGATATTTTGAGAAGCAATGAAGGCAGCAGACACGTGGAATAGTGTGAAGCAGGTGAGTGGTATAAAAAATCCAAGCGACATCACTGGGCAAGAGGCTATTAAGAGAAAAAGAGACAGACAGCAAGCCAAGAAAGGCTATGTAGCAGTTAAAAAAAAAAATGAAGTAATGGAAACAAACAATACAATGTACCAAGATGTGTAGTTATGGGGAGGGGAAAGAATCTATGGAACACGTGATATTTTCAAAATTTGCATTATAATGTATGCTGAAAGCATCTGTACATTTTTGCAAAAATAAAGATTGTATCTATACACACGCATGTGTATATATACACAAAATTATTTCTAGAGGTATGCACAATAAACTGACATATATCCCTGGCCAATGGGACTTGGGAGCAAAGCAAGGGTGAAGAAAATTTTACATCATGCAATTTACTGTACTGTTTCAATATTTTATCACAGGAAAGAATTACTTTGAGGAGAAAAAACTGAGAGGAGTACTTTGAGACAGTAACTTAAAAGGAAAAAAATCAAATACTCATTTATTAATTATGAAATACAAAAAGTAATATTGTTAATAACTTTATCAGCTGAATTTTCAAGTAAGTCAGAACAAACTGGCTCACCTGGATTCATGATTACCCTTGGAGGAAAAAAAACTAAAGTTTTTGGGGTTTTTTAAAGCAATTTTTAGGTTTTAAGCAATTAAACTATACAGATGATTTTTGACTGTATCTGTAGCTATTGCTTCAAAACAGCTCTGAAAGATACATTTTATGTTCGACTCTTAGTAGTAATTTGGTTGAGGGGGGTGTGCTTTAACAATTCTTGACTAAACTATCAACAATTTCTCTTCCACTCCGTTAAATTAGAAAGTAGGGGTCAGCTCCAATTAAGTCTCTTCTCTCACACCCCAGATTACAGAATCTGTCTTCGTGTGTATCAAGTCTGGTCATAATTTTCTTTTCACTTCCTGACAGCCTGTAGAGCCCGGCCCACCTGTGGACCAATGCTAATTCTCACGGCCGAATTCTGTCTAAAACTCCCAAAGCACTGGGGTGCATGGCTGGGAAGCGGGCTGCTTTGGTCACACAAACACATACATATTTCCATTCTTCTCACAAATGTCCTTTAAGAATGAATGAAATGCGTACTTAGCACTGTGAATGTGACAGATATTTTTATGACCAGGAGTAAACTTTGGAATCAAGGCTTTTAGATAACTAACCTTCAATAGTCACCTCAACTTCAGGGTCCTCACTTGTTTCTGAAGGGACATGTTGAGTAGAATCTTGAAAAAAATAAAATTCTAAAATGACATTCATTATTCAGCAAATTCCATAATGTTCCAACATTTTACTGATTTGATACTTCAACAGCAGCCTACTATAAAATTTAACTGGCATTTTAATGCATTTTGTATTTGTTAAATTAAAATATTTGACCCTTTTAATTATAAATAGGGCTAAAAGAAAACAAAAAGTAGAAAAACTCTGGAAAACTATCAGATAATGACAAGTTACCTGCACAAAAGGCCTGAAAAAACCCATATTCCTGGAGGAATGAGACTATAACAGTCACGATTATTCTCCCACTGTGACTAGAAAATGCCAGAATAAAAACAAACGCTTTCTACTTGGGTTAGTATCTCCTCTCCTTTCAGAAATCTAAGGAGTGCTTTACACCATGAAATAAAACCACAACCCATTTTCTGCAACGAAGAACTTTGTATCAAGAGACTCATTTTAACAAATGCCTCTGACTTTGTACGCAACGAATTTTAAACATTATTTTTGTTACTGTGCAACACAAATGTACATCAGAATGTTAGTGCTAGAAGCTTAGGTAGAGAATATTTTCATTAGCTCTCTTTCATTTTGCAAAGATTGAGAGATTAATTGATTTGCCAAAGATTATGATTACTTGTTAGTATTTTATAATCGGAAAGGAATAAAGACCAGAACCAGGTTCCATTCAACTTCATTAATACTGTGGAATGACAATACAGATGTCCTCAAAACCAAGATCTTTCAAAGTCCAATATCTAATGACAGAGTTGTAAAACTGAAGCAATTTGTATTGCCTGATGAACCACACATATCTTGTATATTTTTCTATTGCTATAAATATCACCACCCAAAACTGAAAATTTTGTCACGGAAAGCTTATCTAATTAACTACACAGAGTAAAACATACAAAATTGACCCACACCATCTTCTAGAAAAAGATCTGGCAAAGAAATGTAACAAACTGTTTAAAATGAATACATCAGTATTTCTGAGAAAAATGTATTCCAGTTGGAGACCCTAAATCTATAACCGGCTTTGAAAAGAGTAGCCTACGTTCGGGGACTTTAAGATTGCCCTTCACACAAAGAAGGTGAAATATCAAATTAATGATTTTTAAACATAAAAAAGCAAATACAAGGAATATAAACAGTTACAGAATAGACTCCTTTTATTTATTTATTTATTTTTTTGAGTTGGAGTCCCACTCTGTTACCCAGACTGGATAGACTCCTTTTTAATTACAGAAAAGTAAGGCACAACATAATTAGTTTATAAGACAAGTAATAATTCTAAAACAAGATTGTAACCTTACCAGTCATCTTCCTTGGGAGAAATGTATAAAAATCCATGGGGAACTACTGAAACCACTTGGAAATAGGAAAACACCCTGTGTGGTAACAGTTTAACTCTGCGTTCTAATAACTACAAGAGCTGTACCACAGAAAAGCATTCAATCCTAAAACCAAACCTGTAGACCTAGTAAACTAACAAAGTACTTCATGAAGTAGCTGTGGATATAAAAATAAGAGAGAAAATATCTACTTTATTAATCTTGTCTTGATTATATGATCACCCTAATAGGAAGCATTAAAAAGTATATTTAAAAATAAACTCCAAATGGAGCTAGTAATAATTTGAATTCTAACCTACTGAAGTTATTCTTCTTTAAAAGATTTTTTCTTTTTTGAGTCAGAGTCTCACTCTGTCACCCAGGCTGGAGTGCAGTGGCACGCTCACAGCTACTGCATCCTTGACCTCTTGGGCTCAAGCGATCCTTCCGCCTCAGCCTTCTAAGCAGCTGGGCTTACAGGGGTGCCACCACGCCCGGCTAATTTTTTTTATCTATTGTAGAGATGAAGTCTCACCAAGTTGTCCAGACTGATCTTGAATCCCTGGGCTCAGGCAATCTTCTGCTTCCACCTCCCAAAGTGCTGGGATTATAGGTGTGAGCCACCACACTCAGCTTAAAGATTTTTAATATGGCACACAAAAATCAGGAAAAACCCCCCACAGTATTTTGCGTCATGTAAAGCTTTACTTACCACTTAGTTTCCATTCTCACATGCTTTATTGATCAGTATGGTAAAAGAGGTATAATAAAACTTAGAAATTAAAAAAACAAAACCCTGCTGGCTAAGAAGGCATACCAAAAGAACCACCTTTTTATTTCCATACACGGTGTTTTAAGGATAACATAATCTATAAAACAGAATAAATATAAAATACAGTAAAATAAAAACCCTTTTTTCCTAACCTTCTGCTGGTACTTCCATTTCTGTTCCTTCATTGCCCTCTGAAGAAGGATGGCTTCCTAAAAAGAAAACAAACATCATATAATAAACCCATAAAGACACACACCAAAAGAAGAAAGAGAGTCTAGGTAGCAATGCAAACAATTTAAGGCATAATAAACATACAAAATGCTTCTTTAACTTTTTAGTAATTAACTGAAACAATGCTTTCTAATTCAGAAACATATGCAACACTTCTATTTGAAAAGTAAAAAAAGTTTAAAAACACAAATATACAGAATAAACCTAAGTAGGATTGGGGATTTAATATTAGTTATTGTAACTACATTATAAAAATACTGATGGATATTGGAATCTGAGGAAGTATAATAACATTTCAAGTACCATGCTCATCTGTTAATGACGCTCACACACAAAAAAACAAAGCTGAGTGAATTTTTGCTTTGCTCATACAGTAGACTTGATTAACTCTATAGAATAAACAAGTTGTGGGTTTCCTGTGGATGTTTCCTGCTTTCCATTTTCACTACAGTGAAAGCCATAGAAACTCAATCCCCATAATTTAATCAAAGTTGTACTTAAAGGAAACTTTCATAAGTTAAAATTTAAGATACTACCTTTAGTCTCAAAAGCATTTTAATTCAGGTAATATAATCTGCCTGCTTCTATAAACTGGAACATAAAGCAATGTATCAGGTTAGGCAGTCACAAGATAAAACAGGCTCATCCTACCAGAGCAGAAGTTTTATTCACAGATAAGAAAAATAACCTAAGACTAAGACATCAGAGAGCAATTTAGGATTAAATACCCAAGCTGCCCCCTAATATGCATCCTGACATGGAAAAAATTGAAAAACACTGCCTTCAAACACAAAACCTATCAGGAAGAATAAATCTCTCAGGGGAGGGAAGCAGACTTTAGTCTATTGATAACTAAATCAAAAAGCAGTTCTAAAAGATATAAATTATAAATATATTTTATCTTTATTTTTAAAGAGCAATGATACAGTCTCAAAAACTGTTATTCAGTGTCTAATATCCCTAAATCAAAAGTATCATACTAAGGTCACACATTTTTGATTTTCAATGTCTACCTTTATCATGCCATAATTATCTTGGGGCTATTTTCCACCTACATTGTAAAAACACACCTGAACTCAAAACTCTATATATCTATCCCTATGAGTCAATCTTTAATTAACTTTCGAAATATGCTTTCTCTACACACACTCTCTTTTATTTATTCTTAGCATTTGAATTTACGGAGGATTAAGTTCTTTGACTACAAAGTCAAAGAAAACAGATGTGAGGCCAAAGGAATGAGAGGTAATGGAAAAGGGGCCAGTAGTTAAAAAGTAAAGCTTGGGTAAAGAATAAGAACAGTTAAGATGGTTGCTCATGTAAACAATGATTCTCTGTGTCCTTTTGTTCTTTAAAATCGGAAGTAAACAACTACACTTATAAAGTAAACCCAGGAGCAACCCCTTCGGGTCTCCTCCCACTGTGGGAGCTTTCTCAAAAAAATAAAAAAAGTAAATCAAAAGAAAACAAATCTTACGTGCTCAAAACCAGAATGGATAGAAGTAAAAGTCACTGATATGAACATCAATTTTGGGAACACTATACAGAAATTCCAAAATAGGTAATCAATTCACAAACTCACAAGTGATAGCTCAGAATCCTTCTAAAAACTAAATATCAACATGACCTTATCAACATTCACATTACTAACTAGACAATAATAACCTTACTTCTGACTGTTCTGAATAAGGTATAAATGTGTACTTTACCTTAAATATGAAAGTGTGTCATGTACCCATTTCGAGATTCATTACTAGATTCACAAAAGGGAAAATTGGTTTTGAAAAATTGTTGCTTGTGAAGTTCATTTAAATGTTAAAAAAAAGGCCAATACATTTTTTTCCTTTTCCATTTAGAAAAGTAATAATATAGCTATAAATATCAAAACAGTCTGTCCATTATAAGAAAACATTAAATATGAAGAGTACGTGGGAAAATGGAAGTGAAAGGTGATACCTTGCAAAGGCTTCGAAAGGGGGAGTTTTTCATCAACATCATCAGTTTCAGAAGGGCCTGCTTTGGAACACAAAAATAATACTTCAAAAGTAATCCCCCCAAAAAAGTTTGGGTCACTGTAGTGAACAAATTTGGGTGAGATACATGAAAATAATAGCCTTTATAGAAACAGAAAAGGCAAAAAAAAAAAAAAAAAAAAAGAGAGAGAAAAAAACGAGTGGTAAAAAGACAAAATGAGTGGTATCAATTTATGGTTTTAGTGAATGAGACAAGTGTGATCTGATCAGGCAAATTCATATGTAAACAGTGAAAAGAAATTTTGAAAATGACTGGACATATGGACTTGAATGGGAATGGCATGTCTAAAATGGTAGATATGAGTTATAGTAAAACAGTAAAATGTTTGTAACAGTAAACTGTAACCTTTATACAGATTATGAATGCAGGTTTATCTTAAAGGTGTATTTATTTCTTCCCTGACAAATATTTGCTTAACTTTTTGGTCATAATGAAGAAAAATACAGAACCAAATTATTATACCTTCCTTAGAACCTCTAAAATGATGTAAACTATCAGTATGCTTTAATCTCCACTGAAATAGAAACATAAACTAACAGTTGTTAATGCAGACTCCCCTCTTCCAGAACCATAAGAACTTTCTAATAAATTAATAAGGTTATTTTCAATTAACATAGAAAGTATTTGGGGTTAACATAACTGTCACAAAATGCCAGAGAGAGTCTGACAACAGATTTACATGTATCATCAAACTTTTTCATAATTAAAGTAATAAATTTAAAATTAAAAAAACAGGCTGGGCATGGTGCCTCACGCCTATAATCCCAGCACTTCGGGAGACCGAGTTGAGAGGATGGTCTGAGCTCATGGGTTTGAGACCAGCCTGGGCAACTTGGTGAGACCACATCTCTACAATAAATCAAAAAAGTAGCCAGGCGTGGTGGCACATGCCTGTAATTTCAGTTACTTGGGAGGCTGAGGCAGAAGGATCGCCTGAGCACAGCAGGTCGAGGCTGTGGTGGCCGTGAGGGTGCCACTGCACTCCAGCATGGGCAACAGAGTGAGATTCCAACTCAAAAAAAAAGAAAGAAAGAAAAAGAAATTAAATTTGTCACTATTTATAGAGGACAGAAATGTCTACATTTTTAAAAAACCGCAAAGATGCTATCAAAAACTTAACTAGAGGCTGAGTGTGGTGGCTCAACACCTATAAACCTAGTACTTTGGGAGGCTGAGGCAGGAGGATGATTGCTTGAAACCAGGAGTTCAAGACCATCCTAGACAACATAGTGAGACCCTGTCTCTAGAAAAAAAAATTAAAATTTAGCGGGGTGTGGTGGTATGCCTACAGTTCTAGCTACACAGGAGGCTGAGGCAGGAGGATCATTTGAGCCCAGTAGGTGGAAGTTACAGTGAGCCATGATCACACCACTGCACATCAGCCTAGACAGCAGAGGGAGACTCTGTTTCAAAGAAAAAAAAGTTACCAGAGCTTTTAATCAGTAAATTCAGCTAGGTCAAAAGAAAATGATTCAGTATGTAAAAATGAACTGTAGTCCCATACGCCAGCAAAAGTTAGAAGCTGAAAGGCACAAAAGGACAATACCCTTTAAAATAACACCAAAAACACTTAGATGTCATTGTCACGAAATCTGTACAAGGTCTGTGTACCAAAAAGAAAACCAAAGCACTGAGAAAGAAAAAGAGGAAGAGATAAATGGATAAGACACGTACACCAGGTTCACGAACGGGAAGATTCATTACTAAGCAACCCAAATTTATCTGTAGATTCAGCACAATCCCATCAAAACTCCCACAGGCTTTCAAACCAACAAGCTGGTTTTTAAAAGATGTTTATGAAAAGATAAAGGAGCCAGGCTCAGTGGCTCAGCCTGTCATCCCGCGCCTTTGGGAGGCTGAGGTGAGTGGACTGCCTGAGCCCGCGGGTTCGAGACCGCCTGGGCAGCGAGACCTCATCTCTACAATAAATTTAAAAAATCAGCCGCGTGTGGTAGTGCATGCCTGTAGTTCCGGCTACTCTGAAGGCTGAGGCAGAAGGATCGCCGGAGCCCAGCAGGTCGAGGCTGCGGTGGCCGGGAGCAGCCACTGCCCTCCAGTCTGGGCGACCGAGTGAGACTCCAACTCAAAAAACAAAAAAAAAGATAAAGGAGCTAGATGAGATAAAATAATTTTGAAAATGAAGACCAGCTGGGCTCGGTGGCTCAGCCTGTAATCCCACACCTTTGGGAGGCTGAGGTGAGTGGATTGCCTGAGCCCGCGGGTTCGAGACCCACCTGGGCAACTTGGCAAGACCTCATCTCTACAATAAATCAAAAAATTAGCCAGGCATGGTAGCGCGTGCCTGTAATTCCGGCTACTCGGAAGGCTGAGGCAGAAGGATCGCCAGAGCCCTGCAGGTAGAGGCTGCGGTGGCCAGGAGCGGCCACTGCACTCCAGTCTGGGCGACAGAGTGAGACTCCAACTCAAAAAATAAATAAATAAATAAAATAAAATGAAGACCAAAGTTGGAGGACGCTCAAAAACTGACTCTAAGAATTACTATAAATCTATAGTATTTAAGATAGTATAATACCAGCAAAAGGACAAACACATAGATCAATGTAACAGAATTCACTCTAGAAATTAACAGGGATGCAAAGGTAATTCAATGAGAAAAGAACTCTTTTCAACAAATGATACAAAAAAACTGGATATATACGAAAAGCTTGAACTCAGTACATTGCACATTATACAAAAATTAGCTCACAAGTGATCACAGACCTCAAGGTAAAACTATAAAATTTTTACGAAACATAAAAGAAAGTCTTTGTGATTTGGGGTTAGGCAAAGATTTCTTAGATATGGCACTTAAACACAATCCATACAAGGAGAAAAATCTATAAATTGGACTCTGTCAAATTAAATTACTTATAAATCACATTACAAAGAACTTTTAGTAAAATAAAGAATTGCCAAAACTCAATTTTTATTCATGTATTTATTTTTTGAGTTGGGTCTCACTCTGTCACCCAGACCAAATGCAGTGGCATGATTATGGCTACCACAGCCTCAAGTTGGGCTCAGGCGATCCCTCCACCTCAGCCTCCCAAGTAGCTGGGACTACAAGTGCATGTCACCACACCCAGCTTATTTTTTTATTTTTGTAGAGACAAGATCGTGCTATGTTGCCCAGGCTGGTCTCAAACTGCTGGGCTCAAGCAATCCTCCTGTCTCGGGCTCCCAAGTGCTGGGATACAGGTGTGAGTCACCACACCTGGTGGTGAAAAACTCATTTGTAAAAAAAATTATTTGTTGTGATGGGGTCTCACTGTTGAACAGGCTGGTCTCCAATTCCTGGGCTCCAGTAATCCTTCCACCTCAGCCTTTTGAGTAATTGGGATTACACGAATGCACCACCATGCCTGGCAAAACTCAATTACTTAGAAAAATATCAATACTGCATGGAATAAACTATACCTTTCACCTGCTAGATACAAAAATAACTGTCCAGCTCCCACCTTCAATTGTACTTAAAACAGCCTTTCGACAATCTCTCCCCTCTACAAACATCTGATTTCCAACTCCTTTTTACTTAGGAAATCACCTTAAATTACTTGCTCTCTCAATCTGAGAGAGGAAGAGAGCTTATGTGTTAATAGCTGATAATAATAGGTATGCTAATGAAGAAAATATCAAAAATAGAGACTTTTTATTTAAAAAATTAAACAGAATCTATTTTTTTTTGAGTTGGAGTCTCACTCTGTCGCCCAGACCGGAGTGTAGTGGCTGCTTCCGACCACCGCAGCCTCGACCTGCTGGGCTCTGGCGATCCTTCCACCTCACTATTTTATTAAGCAATATTTATTAACTTCCTGCACATAAACTAGTATGGTACCAACAACTGCGATGAAATCTAAATACAAATACTTTCCAACATTTTAACTTTTTAATTAAAAACCCTCAGGATTATCTCAACTTTTTGCCATATAATTCCAAGTGTCACAAGCTGTAAGTTACTCAAAATTGCTAAAAACATGAAATTCACTATGACAAGGTCAAAGATATACATACAAATAGACATATAATTCCAAATCAGAATAAGCTTATTCAAAGCACTTTCACAATTCTCCAGAACTGCTACAGCTATCTTTTTAGAGAAAATAAACCTGTTAGGAAAAGGCAAATTAAAACTGCAATGAAAAGTCATCACACATGAAATCAAGTGACTAAAATGAGCAAGACTGACTGTACAAGTAGAACCAAGAATGGGCAGCAACCAGAGCTCTCACCTACTGCGGAGGGAAACGTAAAACAGGACATGCACTTTGGAAAGCAGTTTGGCAGGTTTTTAAAAGTTAAATGCCTGCCATATATCCCAGCTATTCCATTTCTCGATTTCTACTCAAGAGAAAGGAAGGCTTATGTCTGCACAAAAATGTATACAAATGTTCATAGTAGTTTCTCCATGTTAGCCCCTAAGTGGAAAGAACCCAAATGGCTATCAACAGACAAAAGGATTGTGGGACAGGAATACAGTGGAACGGTAGCAACAAAAAAATGGCATCTACTATTAAGACAACACTATGGATGAATTTCAAAATAATTACATGAAACGAAAAAAGACACACTGCTCACCTGCCCCCACAAAAATCGTATATATTTTATTAATATAAATTTCTCAAAAACACAAACTAATCTAAAATGATAGAACACAGATCAGTGGCTGCCCAAAGACTGGGGAGGGCAATGAATTACAAAGGAACACAAGGAAATTTTTGGAAGTAATGAATATTTTACTCTTTTTGTTGCAATGGAAACGGTTTATTAAGTATGTACATGACAAAACTAACCAGATTTTACACTTTAAATGTTTAATATACTGCAATTATGCATTGATAAAACTTAAGCTGACTATAAAATATAAAAAATATTCCTTTAAACTAGAACCCCCTTGATGCCTAAAAGCATGCAGTGCTGTGAAATTCTAATTTTTAACTCCTTTCTAATAATCATCAAAAAGATAATGGAATAAAATGATAAAAAAACAGCTAAAACTTATCACTGTCTCCCATTTTATAGATTTTTAAGATAATGATAATGCTTAGTAACAGTTATTTTTGTTGTACAATCAGAGCTATGAAAGGGCCAGAAGACGTCTTGCGCTTTGCAATGAACACTAGAAACTTGAATCAAATTTTAAATTGGGCTGGGCTCAGTGGCTCAGCCTATAATCCCAGCACTTTGGAAGGCCGAGGAGTGTGGATTTCCTGAGTCTGCGGGTTCAAGACCCGCCTGGGCAACTTGGCCAGACCTCATCTCTACAATAAATCAAAAAAAACTAGCCGGGCATGGTAGCGCGCGCCTATAGTTCCAGTTACTTGGAAGGCTGAGGCGGAAGGATCACCAGAGCCCAGCAGGTCAAGGCTGCAGTGGCTGGGAGTGGCCACTGCACTCCTGTCTGAGTGACAGAGTGAGACTCCAACTCAAAAAAAAAAAATTTTTAATTGTGTCACAACTTTTGCTCAACTTTTTAAAAACATTAATGGCTATTTTATATACCCCCTAGAGGCTCTCTGAGTTGATTTTATTGCCCCAATTTTCAACTGTTTTATCCCAGTAACTGAATTACAAGTATACATGTATAAAGGGCTAATCAATAAAATATTGAAGAAATTCAGTCAATTGATAAAAAATTTTAATTTTAACCACAAATAACTTTTAGAAAGAAAAACCGTATTAAACAGTATTACCTTGAACGTTATATTGATAATAATCAGGATCTTCTGACTCTTCCTTTACTGTCACAGCTGCCATTTCCAGGGAAATGCCTATAAAAGCAAATTAAATTACAGGATTATGTGTCAGGACATTCAGTTAGACTGTATAGAAAAATCCCTTCTGCCCTCCCAGTATTGCAGACTAATGCACACAAATTTTAAAGGCTTTTAAAGAACAAAAGTTTGCTAGGTAGCAAAGAGTAAAAATCACCAATAATCCCAACCATGCCCAAGTTTTAACCACTATTAATATTCTGGAGTTACTTTCTGCGAATTCTTTTTCTCCAACAAGTTCTTGTCTTTAGAACTGAAGGAAATTAGTCACAGTCTATCTTCGCTTAATATTAAAAATACTTTTAGAACTTTTACAAACCACCGGAAAACACTTTGCAGACATCATTTCTAATGACTCGATATTCCAGAGAAGAGATGGCATAATCGTTAACCATTTCAACGAGGCACATTCTTTTTTTCACCTAATAAATCTCTTTTATTAACGAAGGTACAGAGTACACCTTTCTGTATAAACCTTTGCCCACAATTAAGACAGATAACTAGAAGTGGGCCTTTGTGGCTGGTTACAATTATATAATTAATTATATTATATAATTCTATTTATATCAAGGTCCAAAATGGGCAAAAGCTACCTATGTTATTAAAAAGACAACACGTGTTGACTCTGGGAGGAGACGGCGATGAGGCAGGAGTGGCCCTTCTTGGAGTGTTGAATGTGGGTGTTAAATTACACAAGTGTCTACAATTTTTATCCACTGAGCAATACATTGATATTTTGCACATTTTTCTTTATATTATACTTCAATAAACAGCTTTAAGAAAGAAAAAAGATCCACACAGTCTTCAACCACAATCCTTCCTCAGCAGCCTGACAGGGTTAGACAACAGGGGCTTACAGAAGTGATATGCCAATTGCAGCAGACGAGCCTTTCGGCTTCCTGTTCCCCACGTAGGGAACTAGGAAATCGTCACTCCATCCTAACAAATAAAAGTTAAACAAACTGAAATTCTACAACTCTTCTTGGATCTCAAAAAGAGGTGTGGACACAGGGCAAACTGCTGCCCCAAGATGGGAGAGACAGGGGAATACAGGAGACACAGCTGACACCCAGGAGCAGAATCTCATGAGCAGAACCAGTGCTGGGGCAGGAAAACTGAACTGTAATTGACCAACTGCTGGAGGACAGGGAAGGAGAAGACAGAGTTGAAACCAAAAGGGGGACCCAGTCACCGGGGAGCCTTCACACCTTTTTTTTTTTTAAAACCTCAGGGAGCTCTTCCAGGTTCTCACAGCAAATACGCAAGAAAAATCCCCTCATGCGTCTAGCACATGAAGGAGGAAAGAAACCTTT